ATCCATTAAAGAATTTTGTCATTTTAATATAGCTGTTAAAAATATTCAACCATATAAGAACCTCAAATGGTTGAAAAATTTAAAAAAAAAAGTATTACAGAAAATTCTCTTAGTAAAATTTCAACACTACAAAATTTTTTTTATTAATTTGGATAAATTAGTCTATACAAGTAAAAGGTTTATTGGCAACATTAAGTCGAACCCTAAGTCTTCTGGGAACTTTTTCTTTGAACCTAGAGTCATCAACTTGTTTGCTGAATTCTTCAAATCAAATTAGGTACATGATGATCCTGGAAGTACTTCTACTTTTTCTGCTAATAATTTTTCCTCCATAAAGATTAGCACGCCTGAAATTGATATTCATTACCGCCATCCTTAAAGCTGGTAGAAAGAAGTAGTCTGTTTGAATTGTGATATCGAACTGTTAAACTCAAATAAAAATCTTTATGTTCTTACCGCTGATGGGGGACAAATAAAGACTTACTTGAGCTGAGAAATATTTCATTCTAATTTTATTTTGATATTTTCCTTGCTTATATAATATTTTATTAAACTATCATAAATAACTAAATATATGTGTATGTATAGTATGTTTGTATGTATGTATTGCAGCAATTTGTTTATGCTGCTTGATATATGGTTGTTTTTAAGTGCACAATTCAATACATGTTTGTGTGTGTGTTTAATGTTACCTCCTCTGTAAGTTTATGACTTCTGTCTCCATTCACTTATATTATTATTTGATGCGAATTGCATGTAAATGCATGGGGCGGGGGGAAAGCATCAAAAGCCGAATTACGAAACTTTAATCCGCTAAACCTAACCTACTCCCAACTCCAGACTCTCCCACGGAACCATCTGATTAGGTATTACTTCGTGGGAGTGATAAGCCATTTATGTCTTCTCTATGGCACGGAGTGCTTTATGTGTCTAAGTTTTGTCATGTTTGACGCCGCTTTGCTAACAACATTCCAGTTCTCAGTGGACTGACACATATGTGTCGTCAAATTTTCCACTGCAAAACTACCACCGAGTCTAGTTTTAAATTTGTACTTGTACCTTGTACTTAAAAAGCGAGGACAATAAAATAATACATGCTCAGAGTCTTCAGAGCACTCTGACCACGTCGGACAATTCGGASTAATGTCGTGCTGGAATCTGTATGGATAGCTTCTAAAGCACCCATGCCTACTTAGTATTTGGGTTAGGTGGAAATCCAGCTCCCCGTGTTGTCTGTCGATCCAGGAATGGATGTCCGGTATTAGTCTGAAGGTCCACCGTCCTTTGAGTGAGGTTTGCCACCGCTGCTGCCATATCGTTAAGTTTTTCACTTTCGCTTCTCTTTTGGCTTCTATAGATGGCTATGAAAATTTGTATTTGAAATTGTTCGGAAAGCACAGATGAGTCTTAGTGCCGACAGTCTGTGCAGTGTTTATTTGTCTGGCATATTCTTTGATGCATAGCGACGCATATAACATAACTGATCTCATTACCTTTGCGAGTAAAAAAAGGCGGTTGGAACGCACGCAGCCTTTATTTGCCATTATTTTTTATAAGGCATTCCGGATTGAGAAGTACACTTTATTCCATTTTTCTTGTACTTATGAGCAACACTTCTGTCTTTTGCTCAGTCAGCTCTAAACTCATTGAGGAGAACAATTGGCGCCTTGAGGTGAAACTGAGTACCTTGGTGCCGTCATCTGTATTGAATAATAGTCGCTAATTTTCAAAATAATTAATGACAATTTCCATAAGATATTGAAGAGCACGTATGTCGTATAGAGCCTTGATTATGTTTGCTTACTTTGCTTCACATTCCATATGTGAGCAGCGCACAATATTTTTTGTTCCGCCTTTCCATCGTTTGCCACTTACTGCACATTTCGCAGTACCACCGACATCGTATAGTGCGTCAATGTTGGACCTCTTTTAATAAAGGCATATTGTCTTTCTGATAATCCGCCGGCTTTCTGGATTACTAACTCCAAGTGGTTTCTTAAACCAACTTTCATTCCCTTGCCAATAGTGTCAAGCTTGCACAGAGGTCGATATGATGATGGTTTCTCCGGAGGCTTTTTTGGTTTAGGTAGTGGAATCAATCGCTGGACCTTCCATGCGTCGGGAAATATGAATTCTTTTGAGCACGCATTGTACATTGTTACGAATAATTTTGGTCTCAGAGTCATGGCTTCTTTTAGGGATCTATTTGGGATGCCATCTAATCCAGACGCTTTGCTGCTTTTAAATTTTCCGGCTGTGACCAATATTTCTTCTTCGCTAACTAGCAGTGGTGGCTCTACTTCGGTTAGAGGCTTAGCGTAAGAAATAATGTCGTATTTATGGAAACAAAGTTTCGACGACATTTCTCATAAAAAATGCGCTTTTGGATTGTTGTGCTTTATTTTTGAATTTATACATACAGATTTTGTATGCTGTTCACCAAGGGTCTTCGTTTGCTTCTTCACAGAGTTCTTCAAAAGACTTCATTTTACTGGCTCACTTCGTTTTACTGGCTGACTTCTTTTGACTTTTAAATACTATTCTAACACTGCTTTTTTTCGCACTGCGGATACCAAGTATATGTCGTCGTCGCATTGTATATTTTCTGAACTCCAGACCATCTAGAAAAGTGCGGCATCAAAATCTTTTTGTTTGCAAGTTCGTTTTTGGCACGTGCTCCTGCTGCGGCGTTCCGTCCCTCCGGCATATGAGACTTCAGCAATTATATCCGTCGTTGGCGAACATGTGATCGATTATGGAGCCTTTGTTTCCGCTATACAGGATCGTAAGATTCAGGATCGTAATTCAAGTACTAGACGTCCACAATGGTTTGTGCGCCTACTACACCAAATGGTCGACCATGCGTTTAAGGCGCCTGCGATTATAATTGGTGCTTTACCTCTGGTCTCTAGAGGAAGTTCCATGAGGAATTCTTCAAAATCTTTACTTGAATAACTTTGAGGAGCATAGCAGCTAACATAGTACATATGTGCCACGTATATTTGCCCATGTGAAATAGTTGTGATATCTGGAGCGAGATATAAATGGTTGTCTTTTAAATGACCATATTACAGCCTTGCCGGATATGTCTGTGTCCAAGTGCAAAGCGACATTAATGATTTTTTTCAACTTCTGTCTATTTTAGCAGATTTTGTGCTGCAGCGCAATGATCTAGATTTAATTGTAATATCTTTGGGTAAGTAGTATTCAAGGCTAAGTGGGCTCCTTTGCAAAACATGCAGATAGGATCGTTAGTGCATGACTTCGCTACGAGGTTGCGACCCATATGCCCAGATGGAAACACCTAAAACAACGGGAATAGGGAAATGTTCCAGGAGACGGTAGATGGACCACCCGTTTTTATTTTGCCTACCTTAAGCGCATCCTGGGCGCGCAGGCATACGAGAACTATTTGAGTACCACTTCGGGCTTTTCGCATACTCTTAATATTTATTTTCCCTAGGTTTTCTTTCCGCACTTTTTTCAGTGCTTCGCAAATCTCTTCCGGGGATGTTACTTCATCCAAATCCTTGTATATAATACTAACTTTATAACGCTTCGGCTCTCTTGTCCGCTTGGTTTTTCAGCTCTAACAACAGGTTTCCTTTCAACGTTTTCCTTATATACGTGACACTTAGCAGAGTTCTTTTAACCCGGTATCACCTTTTATTTTCCAGAGAATATCCGCGTATGATGCACCATCGCTTCTCGTAAGTATGATAGCGTCTGGCCTCGATCTTATTTTCTTTTCGAGCGGTCTTCGCTTCTTCACAATCTCCACCCGAGTTTCGCATTGGCTTTAATCAATTTCGCTGTCTCGCTGTAGGTGGGTTGCTCCACTTTCTTTACATTTTTGGCTTTTTAGTAGATGGTAAAAAGCCTATTGTGTCACGTCGCCTTTTCGGCGTATTTACATCTTCATCCTTTGGGGAAACCTGGTACGCTTTACCATAATCCTTTTGGGATAGATTTTCGCCTTTCTCAGCCTTGGCATGTACCGATAAGTTGCTACTAAGTCGCGCATTGCTTGCCCTCCAGTTCTTTCACTTCCAACTGGTTAAAAATTTGGGTAGTTTCATTAATTGGCGTTTCATCAGAGAGTTTTCCACCTCTAATTGTATTGTTGACATTTTTGTATTTTTTTGTTGATCCAGCAGCGGTGGATATCTCCCTTTTCCCATTGGGATGTGTTCTCAAAATTTTTTAGCTCCTTCTAAGTGGATTCTCTGGGGTACTTCCAGAGGCCACACCTCAATGAAAAAAATAGTTGGAAGCTCCTAACGATAGGCATGTTCAGTCAGTGTCCCTAAAACCTTGCTTATATTTTCGGTAGTTGGCTATGCCAAAACCGAAGAGACTACCAAAAGGAAAACAGCTGAGTAATCAAAACAAAACGGCAATGCAAAAAAGAAGCACGCGCTACAAGGGAAAAATTATCAGCTTTCAATTAAAAAAAACGTATCTTTTAGTTACAATATTTCAAATTGCGCCCCAAAATGTGTAACCGAAATAAAAGATCTTGGGGTGCTTTTTGACAGATTTTCTTTCAATAATCACATCAATTCTATAGCTTCTAAACCGTTTTCTCTACTTGACTTTGATCGTCTAAATGCTTCCAATATTTTCCGACCTCTATACTTTAAAATTATTGTTTACATATTTTTGTTCACTCTATCTTGGAATATGCTGTATGCATCTGGGGATCTATTGTCTATTCTCCTTAAATTATGTTGAGTCTTATGAAACTCGTTTATTATTATCCGTATATCTTAACTCACTTGGAAATCGGCGGTGTGTTCTCTGCCCTTCATTTGTTTTCGGTGTTAAAAGAGTTATTGACTGCCCTTTTTTCCTAGAAAAAATTAAAAAAAACCAGGTTCGGAGTTAGGTACCGTACCAAGTACAAACGAATGCGACTTTGCCTTGCAAAAGATAGGCACAGACGGATAGTGGACAGTTGAGTTTGAGAGTTAAGTGCGTGTATTTAAGACAGCGGCTGCAACCGCTAATTGAACTAAAGCATAAAAATTAAACAAAATGTTATTGACTTCAAATGTTCAAACTACTAATTTTTGTAAAATATCAATAAACTATTGATTAAAAAAAAAATAAACCAACCCATGCTCTCTACGTTTTAGTGGTCGTATTATGTTCAGAGTTATTCCATGTATTTTCGTCATATTTGGCTCTCAAAATAGTTCCAGGATGTCATAGTCATCGTTCCTGGAGAAGGTTTTAATCTTCTTCAACCAATTCTACTATTTTGAGAATGGTTTTAGTATGCTGTGTAAATTTCGTGTTACTTTTTGGCATTTGTTTACAATTAAGCCAATTATTTTCACTCACTTTCTCTCATTCTTGTAAATTCAAAAGAATGTTCTTTGGAATAATGCGCGTTGTTTTTGTTAACAACTAGTCTTCCGACTCAGTAAAATTGCGTTTACCGACTGCGCTAAATAAGAAAATAAAAACCAAACCGTTTCTTGTGAAAGTCTGAGTTATATCATTCTCGATCCTTACATTTTTTCATTTTCTCTTATAACGTTCAGCTTATCAATTATTTAGTTCTAAAACTTATCCAATCAGTTATAATATTTCAAAAATTACACCTTCTTTCGGAATGAGCGTTTGTAAAGGCGCGTCGATTGCTAACTACAGTGACGTAACCAAACTGAGTATACATCAAGTAACAGCTGTCAAAAATGCCAACTCCGAAAAAAGTATCGCCCCATTGAAAAGAGTATGTCTAAAAAGCATCCGTTACTTTTCCCCACCTAACAATAATTTCCCTAAGTAACAACAGTGCAAACTGTGTACTAAAAGTTTTACAAATTAGAATCATTTTCTTATGCTTAAAAGTAATTTTCCCCACCAGCTTCTTATCAACTTCCTTGCCGTTCAAAAGTAGTCTGGTGAGGTCATTTCATGTTAGTAACAATTGATTAATTTAACGATAGCTTACCTTCTTTTGATAGAGAAGGAGATGATTTGTAAGAAGAGGTTTGAAGGTCTGTGCTGAAAATTTGTTATTTTCCTCACATTCCCCGTTTTTACTTTTTCCTCCCTATGTGTCCCATTCTCCCAAAATCGTTGAGGATTTTACCAATGCAGGCGACATCTGTTTAGTCCCTTTTAGGGAAGTGATCCCTTGATAGACATGACAGTTACGTTACAAAAATCGCAATTATCGGGAATGTCCTCCATTCCACAACTCAATAAAATCTGGCGCTCATATATAATTTTATTACACACTGAAAGTAAATTGCTAAATTGGATTGTTAACACCCTTTTAAACATGGTCCACATGCTTCACAACAAATCACCCAAAAAAATTTACGGATCTGGTGGCCACATACAGACAAACACAATAAACACAATAAAGAAGGAGCAGACGTTAATAGGTTTGCGTTGGGCATACTTTGCAAAAGCAACCTATTGAGATCTCAAGATAGACGGTAAATTGAAACCTGTAGGGCAGCAGGAATCGCGGAAGACCTCAATAAACCTGGAAACGCTAGAGACCATAACAATTAGAGCCAAGGGAACGAAGAAGAGCTCCTATACATTGTTTGGTTTGTAAGGCCAAAAGATGACGTACCATACAATTTTATCTTACCTCTGGTGGGGGACTCAAATTAATAGACGTCATTTGGTGAGAAAGTTTTAATTCTTGTATTTTATATTCTTTAATAATCTTAATATGTAGAATAATTAAAAAAATTAAATATAGTGCCAAACCCCGACTAAATGGGTCCCTTTGGTACCATCGCGCAAATTTATTTTTAAACAACATTTACTTTCTAAATTGGATTTTTAGATTGAATTTGGATTATAGATGCGAAGAATATCTCAAATTGTACAGTTATTTTTGATGAAATAATACAAATGGAATATGTTTTACAAAATATAAATTACAGGAGCGACGGGACTGGTTGACGGCAATCGACTCACTGTCCGTTGATACTCTGTTCTGTTCGTTCAATTTATGTTTTTTTTGTTAATTTCTTCATTATATGTCGTCATACATGTCAGTTTCAGCATCGCATTTCATTTACATATAAACGTTAAAAGTTACGTCTGCTTCTTGAGTTCTTACGTCCGTCTGTCGATCCCACATTAATAGATTACTTTCAAAGCAAACGGAACTTTCTCCTCTATGTTATTAAGTTTTAAACCCTTGGGGCAGAGCACGAAACGATTTTGCATATTAGAAATATGGAAAACCTCAAAACATTCTGTATTAGGTCATCGCGTGTATCAAATGCAGTATTGTAGTATAATTATTTGAGGGTCACCGAAATCGAAAAGCGTACTATAGATAGAGAGAGAACGAAGTATTTATATTATATATTGCGCAAATGCAAAGATAGAGATAGAGAGAGAGAGCGATTCGGGAATTTTTATTGTTATCCCTAGCACTTTGTTTTCTGTATCGTCTGCTCGAAGTTCGCCAGTATTGCATACCTGTCGGCGGATCAAAGAGAATAACCAGGAAAACTTTCGTGCAAGAATTTTGAGTGTTCGCTAAATTAAAAATAGAAAAGTAAAATAAGGCAAACACGAGTAATTAATTCTTAGTAGCAGCAGAACCACAGGCTGAATCATCATAACGAAACGACGGTCAACGACGATGTGAGTAACGTCCTCTACACGTTGTGTGCCATTTTGGCATACGTTGTTTGGACAATCATCACACTCACCAGTTGAAGTGAGCCAGTTTGCAATTTAAAAAGCCTTGCGACCGAAGCTTTGCATGAAAAAGAGCCGAACTTTGTGGATGAAAACACAGGCTTGGATGACACCAAAAATAAGCAAGTAGATTTTGGTGATTATCACATCATTAAACGCAAAAATAAAAAAAACAAAAGCAAAAACCAATCGGACAATGCGAAGGAAAATAATATTAAACGCCGAAAAATAAACTGGATTGACAAAGAAACAAAGTCAAATGAAAATGATGCTGAACTTCTAAATTTCTTTATGGGAACTGCCAGTCATTCCTCGCGATCAAAAGGTAATATTTTCAACAACCGCTATTATCCAACTAAACGAAAACCAATATTATACATTTGCAGAGAAGCAAATCCACGAACATAATTGGCGTTTATGAATTTCGGTGCCGAAAACATTGCAGGCCTGTATGATATCCATTTCAACAATTATTTTTATATCCCTGATGAGCCCGAAATGCCGAATTCCAAGTTGTTAGACAGAACTATAATAACTTTACTGTCGTCCCTCTTATCAATAGCGAAGCCAAGGTGGATGGAAATTTCCCAGTAAACGGAGTGACGCATGTCAATGGGGCATTGTACTCGACTTTCAATGATGCCAAAATTAATTATAATAATTTAAATGTCATCCCCGTAACGAATGCCGATTTCAATTTCGTTCAAAACAATCTTAGGAATTTAAGTACTATTCCTTTTACAAATACCGATTCCGTATTAGATCAGGTCATAGCTAACGAAGTGCCGGAAAGCAAACACGCTACGAATGTCAATCCCAAAGTGGTCGAATTGAATTACGATAATTTAAGTGCTATCCCTGTTACTGATAGTGAACCCGTGTTGGAACACTTCTTAGCGAACGAAGCCTCCAAAGGTAATGGCGTCACGAAAGCCCATCCCAAAGTCGTCGAAGTGAATTACAATAATATATGTAAATGCTGTCCCTGTGATGAATGGTGAAAAAAACGAAGCCTCCAAAATTAACTGCGCTTCGAACGCCAATGTCAAAGCCGATACGTATAACTTCTTGGTTAATAGGAATTTCCCAGAGAATGAAATGCCGAAAAGTGAAAGCTCTACAAGCATCAATTCCAAAGTCATCTATGAGCCAAGCGATAACTTAACTGTCGCTCTTGAAGCAAATAACGAAGGATTGCATCATAAGATGGTAGGGAATGAAGTGTCTAAATGTGATAAAGCTCAAGACGTGAGTTTCAAAATTACCGAAGAGTCTAATAATGGCCGTGTAGTCATGGACCACTTCACTGCCGTTTCGGAGGACAACATTACAAACAGAGCTGAAGTGAATGAGAATTGCCTGCTTACTAACAAATCCAACCATATGACACTTGACGAGGAGATTAATATGAATTTGGATTTCCTGAACGAAACGGAGGAGGATTTCGTAGTGAATTTCGATCAGCTCATAAACATGGTTGAAGACTGTTATGCGAATACATCCACTACTTTGGATACAAATAAGGATTCAAAGAAAAATTGCGACATGGAATCGTATTTAGCCGCGGATGAATCCCATTCATTTATCACTTTCTAGAATAAGCGTAGTTTTCATTGTTTGTGATGGTTCTCTATTTTTATTGTTGTATGTAATAAACTCCATTATATATTGTACAGATTTAACGAAAAATAAAATATATGTTTTTATTTAAAAGGTTAAACTTATGTTTGAATCCGCTAAAATAGTAATTGGGCTGAATTCTCAAATTATTGTAAAAATGTTTATTGTCGATCGAACAGCGCAGCATTGGTATTTAAAAGAAATAAGGAAGGGGTAAGTTTACGCGCAACCGAACTTTTTATGCGTTTGCAATTTGCAAAGCCAGAGAAATATCTTCAGGTGCAAACTTCAATTAGGGCATCGGCATCCAAGTAATTATATATACATACATATACATGTCAGCTCATATACTGACCGTCGACATAAAATTTGTTAGGAAAAAGAAAATCATTATTAGCTTAGGTTGATAAGGGAGAAATGCATCGCGACCTCAGGTCTATTGTGCCCTTGTACATGACATACATACATACATATAGGAAGTGACGTAATTGTCTTATTAAGTTCTACAAGAGCTCTAGAATATTTGCATACATTTTCAAGTTAATCCGAGCAGTAGTTTCGGAGATACAGCTTTGAGAACTTGTGCGCTCGAACGTAGCTAGGCTAAGTGCGCCGTCTTCAAATGCGTTATTCTCGATACTGTTTTTGAAGTCAGTTGGCAGGAAATCTTGAGAACTACTCAACTGATCTTCATGAAATTTTAGACAGATCTTTGAGATACAGTTGTTAAAGAGTTGGATGAAGGCTTTTTTCGATTACAACTATTTGAATAAGAAAATGTCGCGAAATTTTAATTTTCTCGAATTTTCAGTTTTTTCTCTGGTCCACGTTTCGACTGAAACGATTTCATATTCTAGACCGCCCGTACAGGAAATAAATAATCATTAATTAATTTTTTATTTTTTTGTGATCACTAGCTTAAGCTAAGTATAGAATAAAATATTACTTTTGAGCCCACTGGGGTCCAATAGTATAAAGTTATGTATATTTTAGAACATTTGCTTATTGTCTTGAATACAGACAGATTGTAAATAAAGAATTTGAGAAAAAAAATTTATACATTTTAGGCACAGAGACATAGTGTAATCAGTAAAATACCCTTTTCATAACCATTTAGACAGCTCATATATCCGACATATGCGGTATAAAGTCACCCGGATGTCCGAAAGTCGATTCAGACCATTTTTGGCACACAAATTTATTATTAAAAAAGAAGCATTCTTCCCGAATTTCATTGACATATCTCGCAGGTTGACCAGCATAAAGTTAGCAATGCGGTAACTAGGGGCTCAAAGAGTTATAGTTGAATTTTGTCAATTTCTGGCCATAAGGCGGCATTATTCGTAAAAAGTTGTATTTGGTTATATTAATTTTACCCCGGCTCTTTGAAAGCCTTCTTTTGTCATCCTGATGTTGGTCTTTCCGTTTCAATCATTTCTATAGGGTCGGTAGGGGTGCTTAAAGGAGTTTGGCTATTGTTGCTTTAGTCTAAGAGACATGTGCAATAAACCTATTCGAGTGCGGGCGGACGAACAGCCATAGAGTCACCTGGATTTGAACTTGTCTTTTCATGCACGCATCTCCATGGACGACCAGTCCGCATGAGCAGGAGCGAAGTCAAAGGGCTCCCCCTGGTAGCAGAATTAAGTCTCCAGTCCATGTATCAAAACCACTACTAATTGAGCTTCCATATTGCTCTGGACTGGTGACCAGGTATTAAAACTCATACTCTCATCCCTCACACACACAAATCACACCTTACCTTACCTTAAGTTTCAGCCAATTGTCTTCGCGCAAATAACTTACGCGCAAACCTTTCAAACGTCCCTAACAGTTCGGCATTCCAACTAGTGAATATCACACCGCTGACATCTAGCCGCCCATTTTTATAGCTAATCTCCATTCTTGGGGGAATCTGAATCCATTGGACATACTGCAATGACATGTACCCAATCCTCATTGCGTGCTTCATATATACATTTAGATGTTTCCGATATATTTCTCCTATTCAAAAATGCATTCAACTGTCCATACCCACTAAGTAAGGATCCCGAGATCAGACAGAATCTCAAGTCAAGTTTTCCTCCCACAAACCTGACATCCTGAATGTATTCGTAAGTCACTCGACTGTTACGGCTATTATCCCAACGTTTTGACGTTTTAGAGGCCTCCTGCTTACCAGATATTCCCCCCTCCACCTGATCTTCGGAAATCCAATCATTCTGCAGCAATGACACACTCAAGCCCCTCCTTAACCTGAATGCAACAGCTTGTTATGTGACAATCAGATCAAGAGGTCCTGACAGCACCTGCATTGTATCCGTTGACACGGTGCGACATGCAGGCAAGCATAATAAAAGGCTGCATGGATAGGAGCTTTTAACGCCTAAAGACTGTCATGGCTGCTTCCCACCATACAACGGCTCCATAAGTGGAATACGGTGCAACCAAGCCACGATATATGGTGGTATCGATACCCCAATCACTCCTTAAAATTTGCCAAGTGCGGAGTGAAACTCATTCTCTCACTCATTTCCAGCTCTAGATATTTGACTTGCATCACATACCTTATGATGACTCCATTTACCCGTACGATTGATGGACGAACCGGCGACAGTTTTACTTTCAGCAGCATTGTCACCGGTTTATCCATTGATATGTCCACACCCACACCAATGCTCCAATTTCTAAAAATTATCCACCCGCCCGTTCTACTTCCTCGAACGACCTTCAACTAGGAAAAAAAGGTTATCCGCACATGCAGAACCTTTACAGAGTGGTTCCAGCTGTTCCAGCAGGGACTCCTTCGTAAAGTTCCATATATATGAACCAGAAATAGATCACTGAGAACATCCACGAGCCACACCGATCTTAGCTCTCCTACTCATTCCAAATATGGAGACCTTTCTGTCTAAAAAGTAACTAAACCAGAGAGTAATTTCCAAACAGCCCAGTTCTTCTCATTGCTTTATCAACCTATCCCATATTGCCCCCTTGAAGTCAACAAATCTACCAAAGATATAATTATTTACATTATCCCTAACAGTAGTCTGGACATACATCCACGCATACTCTTCACTGCGTCCTTTCCTGAAGCCCTACTGCCTATCCGACCACATATAACGCGAGTTAGTCGACGTCGCTGCCAACCACCATCTGTATAACCGATATGAAGGCAACTGTAGTTCATAGGAACTGCATTAACGAAATAACGCCAACGCCAACGTTACCGACCTACCCCAAACTACTTAAAGTCAATTCGTCAACTCAAAATATTTTCCAATTTTTTGTTATCGCAACGACGTTGCAACTACACGAAATATGCATATAAAGAGACTGATAGCCCGATAAGAACGAGGATCACTCTTGATCTTGTTAGGTGATTGTATAAAAATTTCTAGGCTCATTTAATATGTGGAGGCTATTAGGCTCCACCCATTCGCTGAGTGCGTCGTCTCGACTGTGATAACCAGATGAATGTCGTTATACCTTACTACACTACATCGAGGACGAGGCATTCGCATCTAGCTCAAGGATAATAGAATTATTTTTCGAAAGTAGTAGAAGCCTTTCCACGTACCACAGGTAAGACTCTAAGGGTTTGCTGATTTCGCAGTACAAACTAGCGACAATCACTCTACCGAACTCCCTTCTATAGATCAATCGTAGTTTGGATTATTTACAGCTATTGCGGCCTAAAGACCCTAAAACTGCCAGGGAGACCTTAACGACACCATTGGTGGCGAAGGGCTCCTGGAGTAAGGCAACACCACACCCACCATCAAGCATACAGCCCCCAACTCATTCAGAATGACATATGAACCCAGGCAATTAACCTAAATTAACCCACCCATTCATATCTTGCAACAGCACGTTCTACAATGCCTCAGTATATCAGATATCCAGCCGGCTTATTGTCGGCAAACATCCGATTTGGCCCAGCAGTCTGTTACCCTATGATCAAAACATATACAGTGGAAGCAGTCCGCCACCAGATTATCCGGGCGCACCCGGAAGGAAAACCGATTTATATAGGACCTTCCCGTTTCGAAAAGGGTAGACATCAATTTGTCCGATCGCTCAGTGACCAAATTTTAGTGACCTTCCCTGGTCACCTTCTAGGGGCGACTAATCATTCGAATATCCGATTTATGGTACTCGGGCAGGTTCAGCCTGAATATCTTATCCATGAACTCGTAATGAGGTATCGATGCACTACCACCTAGGACCCAATTTGCGGTTGAAGCTCACGGCCAACCCCGCATCTATGGATTTGGTGTTATTCGCAACCATAACTCTCTATTACGCAGATGGGGTGCGAATACCGACCCCACCATTCTTTTTTTACTTCACTTCATGACTACTTCCGACCAGGTCTCTAATGGCTTCGGTAATGACGGCGCAATTGCTTTCAGCACGAGTGCGGGAGGAGATAGCGCCAAAGTTGACACTACAATCTTACTGGGAGGAGGGTGGTATGGTCCACAACCCATTGTTATCTCGCTAATGAGTAGCGACTCATACCGTGACGAAAGCTCTAGCTTCCGCACTGTCGGTACATTCACCCCCGACCCGAGACAGTAGCTCCATTTTCCACGGTAATTTTAAAGCTGCTACGTGGCTGAGAGCACCTCTACTATCCTTCTCGACGGTACACCCCTGAGTATCGGACGCGTTCTGCGTTCTGTGCGCTTCTCGCTGCTGTTCTTCTTCGCTGCTACATTTTTGGTAGTGCTTCCTGCACTGCTCTCGCTATCAACAGTAATATTGTCCTGCTCCTCATCAGGAAATCCTATACGGGTCTTGTTGTTGTTCTAACAGTTAACAATCCCCGTCAGGAGGATAAGGGTTATCTAGGTTGTCGTCGGCGTCATCAAGTGTGAGATCCAGGAAACATGCTGTTTCGACGGGGTCGGAAAAGGGAAAGAGGTTTTAGATGAGTAGTGTTGCCAAAGAGGGGGCCAGTGTCTTGCGGAGACTCATTGCATTCAGGACATATATTGTATATGTCGGAATCTATTCTGGATAAATAGGAGTTTAACCTGCTACAGTGTCTAGAACTAAGCTGCGCAAAGGTCACTTGCGTTTCTCGCAACAATTCGAGCTTTTCGTCTGCGATGGGTGGTAATTTGACTCCAAAAACGCCATTCACTGGAAGGGAGTCGGTGAAGGCGTTGATAGCTCTACTGTGAATGGCGGTCAATACCTGTCGGAAGTTAGTTGCGTCCGTAGTCCCATCGACGAACTTTACGATG